CCATGCTGACTACTCCTGATCACCTTCTTGTCCTCCACATGCTTAGTGAGGACCTCCAGGAGGAGCTGTCCCATCACCTTTCCAGGGATGCAGGGGAGGCTGACAGGCCTGTAGATTCCTGGCTCCTCCTTCTGGCCCTTTTGGAAGACTGGGCTGACATTGGCTTTCTTCCAGGCCTCAGGCACCTCTCCTGATCTCCAGGACCTTTCCAAGAGGATGGAGAGTGGCCTAGTGATAACATCCTCCAGCTCCCTCAGCACTCGTGGGGGCATCCCATCGGGGCCCATGGATTTATGGATGTTAGGTTTGGACAAAAGATCTCTAACCTGATCCTCCTCCACCAAGGGAGAGTCTTCCTTTCTCCAGCCTTCCTCTCTTGTCCCCAGGGTCGGGAATTCCTGAGGACTGGCCTTAGCAGTGAAGACTGAAGCAAAGAAGGCATTCAGCAACTCTGCCTTCTCTGTATCCTTTGTCACCAGGGCAACTATTTTGCTACTGAGTTTGTTTCAAATATGTACACCTCACCTACATTCCCTGTAAGCAAATGCACATTTACCCAAAAGCTTAGCAATACTTTCTTTAGGATTGAATGGCCTTTCTTCATGTTGATGTGCCTTAAGTCTGTGAGAATAGCACTTCATTGGAGAGGATGAACTCAGGTGCTCAAAGAAGTAGATGTCAACATCTACATCAAGTGTTGACCCTGTCCAGAGGTGAATAGCATGTGAAGCCCTCTCTATTCTCCCAGCATAAGACAGTCTTTCTAGCTGATGAGGTGCCTCAGGCTTTCTCTGTTGGAGAACAGACCTGCCATTATTCGTTAAAGCTCTTGGAAAATTTCCAGCTACTGAGTAAAGCAAAACAAATCTTTGTCATGTACAGAACATCTCCACAGCAACAAGGCAGGTTCCTCAGACTTAAAGCACTTCCTGGGTAAGGTCAACATTGCCAGATCCTTTCCATGAGCACCTTGCTTTGGGTGAGGCTTTGTGGCTTGTGCTGTGCAGAAACACAGCCTGTAAAAGAACCATCCAGCTCCAGGCAGTGATGGCACAAACTCTCTCCCCTTCTGCTCTCAGAGGTTTCAAATTCTGGAGAATAGTCAATGTGCATTTATAGTCAATGTATTCCTGGTGGTATGGTTGATTGGTAGTGAATAGGGGCCAAAGCCAAAGCTGGATAGGAAGCAGTCATTTACCAATAGGGAGCTGTTAAAGAACAAAATTTTAGCCACAAAAGTCATTCATATCTTTTCTCTGAGAACCCAATTCTCCCCTTCCTGAGCAGTCTGGTGTTATTTCCACCTCAATTTTTCTGCACTGTAACAGCAATGAGATGCTCTGCATTGTAACTGCTGTGCCAGGAGTCTTCATAGATAGCATATTTGTGTTGATAAATAAAGACAACAAGGTCTTGCATTCTGTAGGATCTGCAAGCTGGAAAAGTGACAGGGGAGAAGAAATCTGCTGAACTCCTGGAAAACCCTTAGAAATACCCCTCTGCAAACAATAGTCTCTGTGATGAGGATGATGCCAGTAGTATACCCTGGTTCTGGGATGTGGTCAAATATTTAGCCAGCACTGAAGAAAGACCCCGGACTAACAAAAAGAGCTCTTGACGGTAACTTCATCAGACATCAGCACCATTGACAGGTGTCCAGGTACAACTCACTTCTCCAAGTTTCCTTGTCAGCACCCTTAAACCTTTTATGCTGTGCATCATTAAAAAAAATGAAATTTACACATATTGGGGTCATGCTTTTTTTGGTATTAGTTTGTGTATGTGTGTGTTTGCAGGCAATATAATCCTACGTATACTTTTAACCACAGAAAAATAGACACTAAAATGCATGCGTTATGCAGAATAATATTTGCTTATCATTAAAGAGGTGTGCAGTTGTAGTGACTGAGGGATGAAAGAGTACTCAATTTATACACTCAGATAGAGAAAGGGAATTATGCATATCTAGGGAAAGCATGCTTTCTAGCATGTTCTTTCTAGAATAGATAAGCCAAAAGCTTCCACGGGCCTACAGGAGCAAAGAGAGGGTCGTCTTAGTTTCTAAATCCACAAAAGGGAGAAATATTGGTAGCTGGAGTATAGCTCGCCCTTCGGCTCCCACCGAACTCGATCCAGCTCAGCCAAGTTCCCAGCTCCCTCTTGTGGGATGATACTGTCTTTGCAGGGAGAATTTTGTCAGAAACAGCAATAAGAGTTTATTCTATTTGACTTGCCTTTTCACTCATTAAAACCCCTCCTCTGCAGCGGGTGCATATTTCCATTCTGGGGATGTTTTGGTGCATAGAAACAGTTTCATGGGGATACAACATTTCCTGAAGGGGAAGGCTTTTGTGCAAAATGTATAAATACGCAGCATTGATTTATAATTAAACAGTGAATACTGCAGGGGAGGGTACATCTTTTATCTGCATCTTCAAACAATAAATCTAAGGAGGACACAGATATTAGATTTCAATCAGGAAATTTTGCTGAGTTTCACATTTTACTCTCTCCAGAAAGACCTCCAACACATTCACTGGCAAGCTTATGTTGTCACCTAGCAAAATCTACTACCCTCTTTTCTCTGGCTTCCTCATCCTGGTTTTTTTCTTCCCTAAAGTACAGCTCTGGAAAGCAGACAGCCCCCCCCCACACGCACCCCTCCCCACAGCTTTGTCCCAAGGTCTTCTAAACCTGTCCCCCAAAAGCACTTTGGAGGACAGCTAAGGAGAACATCAGGGAAGTGCTAGAGTGACAAAACAAAGCTTTACATATAGCACAGTCATTAACCATCATTCCTCTTTCCACTGATGATTTTATTTTTAAATTAACTATAATTTATTGGCCAGCCCTACTAGTTTTCTTGTGGATATTTTTACACAGCATAATAGAAGGCTTCTGCAGTCTGAATTTTTCTAAGGGTTGTTTACTCTTCATTTACCTACTGCAGAGTATTTGGCCATAAACAGCATAAATCCACAGCCTCACCTTCTTTTTTTTTTTCCTGCTCGCTGAGAAGGCTAACGATTGTACTATTGCATTTCCCTGTTAATGGGTAACTTGAGGAACTAAAAGCATCAGTTTTATTGCCAGCAAAGCAGTGGCTGGCAGGGTCCAAAGGTACCACCAGCCTTCTGAGCATCGTCAATTGATGTGAGCACCTGCATGTGGATTTCTTTAACGTGCAGCGGCATTTGCAGAACTCCAGGGTGGTGCTGCTGAACTGCAGGTTTGTGTTTTCTTTGCTAGAACAGTAATTTATTTGGTTGCTGCAGAAGAGAAGAGTTCAGAATGCTTCCTTAGGCCACTGTTCTCTTTGCTGTCTCCTGCAATGGAAGCCTGGGGTCTTTGGGCTGTGCTGTGATTTTGTGTTGTATTGATTCGCAGACACTTTGGGTGTTTTCCTGAAAAATCTCTAGAGATCTTTGTCATTTTGTCTCTCAGTTTTGTCTGTGTTTTCGTATGGTGACCTGCTTCTTGAGAGAGAGATAAAACCCCCAAACATACCGAGATATCTCTAGGTATCTCAGGATCTCTGCTGAAGCCACCCTCACGGCGAGTGAGGAGTATGGTGAGAGTACCACTGATTTGGTGGAGAGAAGTTAATACTTTTCCACGAGATGTGGGTGTACACACACTTTGGGACGCTCCATTGCATATTGGTAGTATACCTTTTTCCATTCCATCTTCCATGGTGTCTTTTTACTTTGGTATAAGCTTTTACTTTCGTTTATTTTGCCCGTCATTCTTTTTGCCTATGCTTGCAGCTGTTGTGCTCAGTGTGCAGTGCCTTTCTTCCTGCTCGGGGTGTTCGCTGCTGTCTTTTCAATGCCAGCCCCAAAGCGAGTGCAGTCACAACAGACTATCTGGCAGGAATTTTAAGCGTTGCTGTTTGTTTTCATGACTTTGGTTTTTGCAATATTTTGTGCTTGGTTTCTTTTCTATTTCATGAATTCCAGACATCTCAGTGTTTGTACTTCTGTGGTGAGAATGAGTAAATTGCTGTGGTTCTTGCAGTGAGATCAGAATCTCAGATCTGAAAAAAACCAAAATGGAACAATTCCTTTAGTTGTCTTGGCAGCAGAGGAAGGCCTGAATATGGTGTGTATAGGCTCAACAAAGAGGAAATTAATAGAGCTAACCAAAAACGTGCTTCTCAAAATCTCACATTCTTAATGGATTTAGGAATGGACTATATTGTGCCTCAAAAAGATACGAAAAGTGGAATTCATCCTGTATATAGCATTAGTCAGATAAATGTTAGGCATCTAGCATAAGTTAGTTTTCTGGTCTCTCTTTGCAGTCAGGGAAGAAATACAGCCACCTCCGGGACATATTTCTCCTGTGAAAGTGATCTTGCTGCATGTTGGAAAACTATTACCTTTCCCAGACATTATGACCAGAGAAAATATTGAAAAATCCTTATAGCAACTTGGATGAGCCATAACAAATGAGAACCCTCCCATTTTGTATTGCAGAAAATAGTGTCTGTGGTGGGGGGGAGAGAAGCAATCTGGAAATGTGGTGCCCTTCAAAGCAGAGCTTAGTGAATAGTATCTTTTGCTAGGTCAGAGTCAAAGGGAGATACTTTATTTTCATCAAAATTATCAAGGTTCATTTTTTAACTTTAAAAAAGTTAATTTTGACTACTGTTGAACTGAAACATTCCTGTTTGACTAAATATATTTATATAGTTATATTTATTATATTTATACCTAGCTTTATATGTATGTAAAGAAACAGAAAGAGAGTGTTTGGGCTACATAAATCTTTAAAATTTGTGTTTTAAAAATCCTAGGTATTTTCACTTAGATAGTTTCTTTAAAAATATCTGAGAAAAAGTGGTTTTAGTATTTCCAAAGTGAAACATTTAGTTCGGAAAATGCCAACACATTTTTATTTTAGAAATTAATTTTTAATTATCATTTTTAAGGGATAATTATGGAACTCCATGCTTTGAGATGGACTCTCAAAATATGACAGGATGGCGTTTTCAGAATTAGAATGGATGGAAATGTATTGACTTCAGTTTTAAGTTTTAGTTTCAAGAGTAGCCATAGGAGCAGCAATGAGGAGCCGTAGATCCCCAGTGCTGCAGGAAGCACAATTTGAGACTGCATTTTGCATGTGAGATAAGCCTCCGTGTATGCACAGAAATACACTATGAGAGTTTTTTCAGTGTCCGTATTGCATCTATTTCACTTTTCCACATACAACAGAATCTATGTTTGGGGTGTTTGAATCCATAGTGTCTTTGTGATTTGCTCCAGGGATCCATTCCAAGCCCTGCTACTGGTGCAGCTAATGAGACCTATGCCTATGCAGCTCAGGAGTTGCTCACATTATACCAGTCTGACCAGTATCACACTTTGTAGCATGGCTTATAGGATTAGTGTTGGAACATTGCCATACAGCAGGAGCAGTTGAAGGACTGCTCTGGCCACTGTATCACTTCCCAGCTTCATCTGGGGTGCAGGTGAGCATATGGGCAGTGTAGATGACCAGGGAATAAGATCTTAGAGTGAACTTGGGAATGATCTAAGCTGACTGTGAAGATCCATGCATAATTTATTCTGCATTCAAACAGATTTTCTCTATCACATAGGTATGGGGTTCTCAGTCCAGGTGACACCAGTCATCTTCATCTTGTTGTTGATATCTACACAGCATCCCGCTACAGGTAATTCTGCTCTTCAATAGATTAATTTCACTTTGTAATAAATTCATTTCTGAGAGTATGAATATATTTGAATTGATACTTCCCTATGACCTCTGATTTCTTCTCAACTGAATGTATCCAGACATAGAAAATTTATATTGATTTCAGGGAACACAGATGCGTGTTCTGGGATTTGTTATGCTTGACCATAGGCATTAAAACTGGGCATCTGAGTCCTAGCTATTTATCCAAGATATCTGTACAGTCAATTGAAAAAGACAAGCATTTCCAGAGCATAAAACACCTCATTTATCATAGATTTGTATCTTAAGAGGGAATGAAACACTCTCTAGGGAATCTCACTTCTCCCTGTATTTTCTAGATGGAGAGGCTAGCCTTAAATTAGATGTTTCTTTTTCAGATGGCTCAGATTTGGTCAGATGATTATACTTCAGATAACCTAGTATATTCAACATGGGAAAGGGAGGTGAAAAGATTTTTGACTTGCAGATTCATGACAGTGCTAGATTCTGGTCATTTGAAATAGGGGGTGGCTTTTAACAACATGTGTTTCAAACGCATCTGTGAGCTTTTCTTCATCCTCAAATTTGCCATATACAGCCTGACTGCTGCTCCTGACCAGAGCTGTGGGAGGACTTGCTAATGTCATAGAATGAAAGCTGCAGCTTCCATGATAGGGCATCATCATTACAAAACTTCTTGCACACTTCTTCCTCTTAGCCTTTAAAACCACTAAGGGCATTGAGCACAGTTCACCTATACATCTCTCACTTCTGTAGGTGGTGGCCACGATCCACTGATTGTCTTGGATGATTATGAGGACAATGGTATCAGACTCAGATGTTCCTCTGAGCGGTTGATTTCTGAAGTTCAGGTGTTGTGGACAGACAGTAAAGGAGAAAATTTCACTGGAACACCACTCAACACTGGCCCTGGCAGTGCTCATGCCAGTAGCTCCTTTATTCTAAAACCAGGATCGGGAAATTCTGTGTCCTGCAAAATAATTGACAAATTGCTGAAAAAATCAACAGAGTCTTCAGTTGTAATTGGAGGTGGGTATGATTCAGAGCGTATCGTGTGAAGTTCCTCCTGTAGATTGCCTGCTGTTGACAAAGGGGAGCCAGAGATTACCAGTTTCCTTTGGAAAATGCTAACCTGAGTAATTATTCCTCTGTGCTTCCTAGTAAAATGAAAATGTGCTTGTGACATACAGCTAGCTGTACATTCACCCACCACAGGTAACAATAGCAACAATATCCTTAGCCTTGTTAACAACTTTCATTTGAGGACGAGGATACAGCTTTGGGGACATTTAGACATTAGGACATCAAGATTTGTATTTGTGCTATTATTTTGGAAAAATGGGAGGCAGAGCCATGAAAGTTTGTTGCTCTGCATCCTGACACACTCAAGGCTGTGTCCAGTCTTGTACTGAGGTTGCACCCTGTTGAAATTGGCCACCTGACAATTGAAACTGGACATCAAAGACGGACAGAGATACTGATCACCACCACTCTCCTCAGTGGCTGCAGGAACTGTTGTTTCTTACCCATGTAAATGTGAGGACATGCCCAAACTTGATTTTGCAAGGAAGCTAATACCTGGTCCTGTGAAATAATTTGCAGATGTTTTCTTTCCTGCCACCTCCCCTTGGCTGGCTGCTTTTGTTGTGATCCTGCTCTTGAGCATTCTCCTGGTTATCGCTGCAACGTATAAACTCAGAAGTAAGTTCCGCTCTTAATGCTACAGTAGTGAATGCTTAACACAGCCTGGCTGGAAGATAACATCGGTGTGTCCAGAATTATCTGGGGAAGGTGCAGGGTTATGAACAATCTTCCCTGTGATTCTTCAGCTGTGTCTTTTTTACTATATTTTGCTTACCATACATTTTAATTTTTAAGCATCTCCTAACTACATCAGTGTCTTGAACCCATACAATATGAAATGAGGAATTACGGTTGTGAAATTATTGTTGCAACTTAACCTCGTTATTCAAATAAACAGACTCTAGCTAATAACCGAAACCTGTGGATGTATCCGAATACATCCACTGGCTTCATTTATGTCTTTGCAAGTTCTTTAATTGCTTTATATGCTCGTTTCTAATTAACATGATTCTATGACACGAATCATTTCTGCCAAATGAGAGTACTAAGTCTGAATCTTCTCCACTTTCAATGCAAATAGATAGATTCATTAAATTCTATGTGATTTCTCATAATTTTAATGGCAAATATAATTATATACAAACCAAACTATTTTGAAAATAAATTTTCTTTACCAAACATGACCCATGACCCCAATGAAGTCTGAAAAATTTCATTCGAAAACCTACAACAAGCAGAGAAGAAAGCAAAATAAGATATTTTCTTTTTCTCTTCCCTCCCTCCTGCCTTCCCTGCCTTCCCTCCTGCCTTCCTCTTTCTCTCTATGCCTCAGAGAACAATAAGACAACTGTTCGTGCGGGTAAGTCGTAATAAATACTGTATTTCATCATTTGGAAAGATACATGCAACATTATGCATAGTGTTAGTCCATTGAATTGCATAAACCATGCGGTTAACTAGTTGTATTCCTGAAGTTATTCTATGACACGGATTTCAAAAGATTTGTACTTTGGTTCATCCCACTGAACATAAGGCTCCAGGTAAGGTGCCTCTCTGGGAGGGAAGTCATTGTATGCGCAGTCAGCACAGGGAAAGTCTGGCCCGCTGGAGATTCCTGTCCCTGTGGAGAAACGAGGAAATTCTTGTATCTCACTGAAGTTAGGCTACTCTGGCTATATATGTTGAAAGAGATGGCAAAAAGCGTTTGTTATGGGTCACTTACCTAATGACTACAGAAGAAATATAAAGAGATTAAGCACCCTGGGCTAAAGGCACCTTTTGTAAACTTCTTGCGGAGGATCTAAAAGTTTTCTGCTTGAAAAACACCACATGCTGTGTGGTTATTTTCTGTTTTTTAAACGAAAGCCTGCATGCTTTGAGTAAATACTGAAATCAGTTGCTGACCTTCAGTGTGCTAATTCTTTGTGCTTCACAATGGAGGTTTGATTCACTGTGAGTTTTTTTTTTAGGACTTCTAACATACATAAGAGGTGCAGAATAAATTTAATGGATGGCGTTTTATGCTATCTAATGGATGGTGTTTTAAGCAGAGACCCTCTAAAGGAAAGAAAATACTCCTTTGCCATACTCTACGGAATAAGCTGCTATGTAGGAAATGAAATAACTCCAAAATTTGCATACAAATAAAAATGCTTTGGGGATAAAATTTTAAGTATCCAGGAACAAATCTGTGGACTTGCATTAGAATTTGCTCTCAGTCATCCCTGAAACACTTGCCATCAGACAAAGATTCACTATTATATGTGAAATAAAACTCAGGATATAAGAATTCATCCAAGAAGTATAGCTTTAGCTGTTGGCCCTTGAATTGCTCTGAGTTTGAAACTGCAGAGAAAATAAAGCTAGGTGTACTAGCTAGGTACTTTTGAAATCTGTTTCCTTTGCATTTAAATAAAATCATTAATTGTCCACGCATTGTACAATTTTGATTTTCAGATCATTGTTTGTTAAATATGGAACTAGGAAAGTGTTGACCATATTTAGAAATACACTTTGTGTAAAAATTAAAAAAAAATCCTAGAGAAATATATGCATCTATTTAATCATTTCCATATAGACATTACAGCTGAATGTTAGTCCTTTAAGAATTATCTTTAGATGTGTAATATATTTCCTTCCATTCACAGAAAATGCACAACGTGAAATTGAAAAAGGTGAGCAAAGCAGCTTTTTTCAGTAGTTTCTATCAATAAAACCTTCTGATCCTTTAGAAATGGATGAAAGCTGAACTCAGGAAATATCCACGGTTATTTTGTTTTTGTGAAAAAATTATTTTCATTGAAACAACTTTTATGTTGGCCATTTAAAGAAAATCAGTGCCTACTGCAAAGGAGAAGACTAATTCCATGAATAAGTTTGATCTATGGCTGGGATTTTTTGCTCAGTATGTGAGCTTGCAAATTGTTCTGTCAGTTAATTCAGGTAAATTAATGTGTTCTTAATTTGGGATCCTGGTCCATGCTGAACAGCAGAAGGAGAGTAGCAGAAGAATAAAGATCTTGATTCTTAAAAAAATTAGTCTTTTGATCTGCTTAAAAAGTTTAAACAGCCTTGTCACCAGTTAGGACTACATTATACAAACACAGAGCAAGCATGCTGTGCAAGCAAAGAATGACAGAGATGTAGTAACGCCAGTCAACTGTTCTGAAACTTTTTTAGTAGGCCTTAAGGTACCATGGAGAAACATCAGTTATACCTGTGGTAAAGCCAGGTTTAAGATTCTCAGGACATGGTTCAGTTGTTTCAACCTAAGTATCAAGAGTCAGATGCCTGTGCTTAGGCAACTGAATCACAGACTCATTAAAGGATCTTCTTGGGGCTTTTTCCCCTCGAGTAGGTCCTTTGAAGTGCTTAATTTTACCGAGGTCAATTCCTTGAGCCGCTTATTTGGTTCCACCTCATGGGAAGGTATCAGCACAATAAAGGCAACAGCATCAGCTGCCTTTTAGCACTTGAAAATATGGTCACTTTTCTGAAACTCAAATCATTTTATTTTATCTATCTTGGCTGTTACTTCACACCTATTTATAATTGGAACAGATGATAGATTTAAGATGTCTTGATTTAAATAAAAAGCTAACAGCATTTTTTTAAATTACAGATTAAAAAGGAATTGCTATTTTACTATATACACATGATTTCTTTCAGAAATGATACAGCTCAAAGACCAGCTGGGTAAGACCATATTTTGACTCATCTTTGTTATGTCAATTTTTAGTATCCTTTGGTTTGAAGAAGTCTTGTAAGCCCAGAAATTACAGTATCGCAACAGAGGGCCCATACTGGAAAGGCCCTTCTGTTCTGAAACCAGGGGTTTCAATTACATTGAAGAAAATAATTCCAGGTGTCACCTCGTTTTAGCCAGTGGAAGTTACATATCTAGTCTTAGCTAATCATCTAGACTTCCTCCAAATTAAACAGAGGAAGATAGATATCTCCAGAAGACAATTTATCTACCTATTTTGAAGACCTATTTGTGTGCCTAACCTTACATTTTATTCTGAACTTAATGTTAAGCTTAACTTCCCTGAACGTGCACAGTCTTTAACATTGAAATTCTCAGTCATGTTTTGTGTGTTTTGGTCTCGAAAATGTAGCATTCTCCACTATTTCTGTTTCTATTGTTTTATTTTTCAGCTAAGGAGCAGAACAAGTCACAGAAGGGTAAAGTGCCATATTTTTGCTACTTTTCATTTAGTACTACATACCATTCTTTGAATCTTATCCTAAAAGATGCTTAATAGGTGATCACTCTAACAAAATAGTGGTGTCTTACCACCATTATTGCATCACTAGGTGCAATTTTGAATACTTGAATTAGAAAATGCTCTCAGAATTTTGAGTTTCCAAAGATTATCTCCCCTACTCCAACAGAAAGGGTGACTGAAAAGTTGTGTTATATGTATATGTGTACATATATATGTATAAACAGAGAGAGAGAGAGAGAGAGAGAGAGAGAGAAAGTGATGTTTCCACCGCTAGAAGAATTTAAGTGGAGCATGTTATTTATTGCATCTCAGAATGAAGTAACTGCTAAAGCAGCTGATCACAGCATTAAAAAAAAAAGGAAAACAAAAAATACCAGCACAATTACTGCTGAGATTTGCAAGTGTTGGCTCTTACTAGCTATCATGAGGAAAATGGTAAGGAAAAATTAGGGGAAGATGAAGAGGGGGGTTTTTCAACGTTTGGTGTCCAGCAAAGTGTGAAAATATCAGCCAAAGAACAGTGATAAGAAGAGTTCTTGAAAATACCTGGGAGCAGCTGTGCCCCCTAGTGCGCCTAAGAGCCATGAAAAGGATTATGTTTATTTGTGACTAGATAAGGAAAGAAAAAGAAAGTAAGTTATTTGCATCTGAACAGATTATAGCATTGGAAAAGTATCAAGAGCTGCGATGAATGTGATGAGCATCTCTTTTAAGTCCAGAGAGAACTGGACAAATTATAGAGAGGTAGATTAGGATAAACACTAGGTAAAAATCTGTCAGGATGGCAAAGTTAAATAGATTTTTGAATGTAATGTAAAGTCTCTATTACAGCAAATGTTTAAGGATATATTAAATATTAAAACATAAACATTAAACATACATTAAGATGTCTTCTAGAATTGGATTAGGTAGCTAGTTTTTGAAAGGATAATGGTTTACAGGTACTTAGTTACATATGTTGAGCTAGCTTGCATTGAGAAAGATGGCCTAAATGAAATCCTTCGATCTCTGGAAGTTCTATTTTCTTTAGTTTCATGATTTTTTTGCCTAAAAGATATTATTAGTGAAAATGTTGCTGTAAAATGTGAGCTTGAATGGCAAATGAAGTAGCATTAGATAATAATTCAACCTCCCCTCCATCCCTGGAAAGGTGATGGGACAGCTCCTCCTGGAGGTCCTCACTAAGCATGTGGAGGACAAGAAGGTGATCAGGAGTAGTCAGCATGGCTTCAGCAAAGGGACATCCTGCTTGACCAATCTGATAGCCTTCTCTGACGGAATGAGTGGCTGGGTAGATGAGGGGAGAGCAGTGGATGTGGTCTGCCTGGACTTCAGCAAGGC